CCCGCGCCGGAGAGAAACTAATCCCGCGAGGCCCCGCGCCGGAGAAAAGCCGATCCCGCGAGGCCCCGCGCCGGAGAGAAGCCAGGCCCGCGAGGTCCAGCGCCGGAAAGAAACTAATCCCGTGAGGCCCCGCGCCGCGCCGGAGAGAAACTAATCCCACGAGGCCCCGCGCCGGAGAAAAGCCGATCCCGCGAGGCCCGGCGCCGGACAGAAGCCAATTCCGCGAGGCCCAGCGCTGGCGGGAAGCCAAGCCGGTGAGGCCCAGCACTGGAGGAGCCAAGATCAGCTCTGGGTGGTGCCAGCCAAGGACAGGTAGGGGCTCAGTCAGGAGGGGAGTTGACCTAGGGCGGGCGGGCACAGGAGGGGACGCAGGATAGATAAGGGCTGGTGACTCAGAGCCTATGGTCCAAACCTGGGCAGTGCCACTTGGATGTCACCAGAGAAGATAAAGGTTAGGGCTAGAGTTGGGCAGAACTGGAGCAGAAAGCACCGAGCAAAGCCGGGGCAGGAAAGCCTGCAGTTTCCATAAGTGGTGCTGTAGGGCTGCCCCGGCCGCAGCTGTCTGGGAGGGGCAGGCAGAGGACGTAAAGTTCCAGGCGGACAGTGGAGCTCAGGAGGGGGCCTGAGACCCCTGCGAGCGGGTGTAACATAAAGGCCAACTCCAGCGCACATGTTCAGGGCTTCCTCTATGCTGGCCACCGTTCCAGAGCCACACATGAGCTTAACAACCCTGTGGAGCGGATGCTGTTGTCCGAAATTTACAGATGAGTGGCCTGAAGCACAGAGAGGTTGAGGGAATGGCCAAGGTCTCACAGCTAGGAAACGGCAAAACTGGGGCCCCAGAACAATTCATGGCTCAGCCCGGGCCTGGAGGTGACAGCAGCGTTTGTCCGTGAGCAGGACCCGGGAAGGAGGTGCAGCTGGAATTCAACCCTCGGCCTCTGGAGGACTTCGGGGGTTGCTCACGCCCTCCCGAGTGTCCCTGTGCACAGTGGTGAGGACCCGGGTGCTGACAAGGACACGACCTGGGCTATCTGGCTCAGGGACGGCAGGCACCATCCTGAACGGCACCGTGGTGATCGAGGTGCAGGAGGCCTGGATCTTGTGGGGTTCTGTACCTGGGGATGCTCCGGCTGCCTACTGTCTCCGCACTGCAGCCAGCCTGGCACAGCTCTCAGGAGCCTGCTCTCCCAGTGGGTCAGTCACCCTCAGGGTGGAGCTGGGACAGTATCATTTGCCTCCCGTCTCGCTCCTGATTTCTGGGATGAATCTGCAGTTTGCTTTATTTTTTTTACTTCCTGGCCCTGCCCCATCCCCTGCAGTGCAGGGTCACTGGAACAGTACAGGGGCTGAGGAGAAGGGGCCCTAGAACACATCTACTGGGCCTCCTCCTTGCAAGGGCTGAGCCAAAGCAGGTTACCCCTGACTACACCAAGTTTCTGGATCACATCCTGCTCCCTCAAGTTTCCAGGTCATGTGTCTCCTAAAAATAAAGGTGCCACTCTCTGGGCACTTCCCAGATACCCAGCACCATGCTGTGGGCCTAAAGGCACAGCCTCATTTGATCCTTCTAACAATCCCAGAATGAGGGTGATCCCTGCGTCCCCATTTTTCTAGGTGTGTCAAAAGAGGCTCAGATGGATGAGACTTGCCCTAGACCACGTACCCAGTAAGGGACCAAGCAGGATCTGAATTTTCCCTCTGGACCCCAAGCCTCCTGATGGTTCTATTTTCAGCCAGTTCAATTTTAGGAGAGAGAAGCCCACCCAAGAGCTTGTGTCTACTCCATGCTTACAGCGACCATGCCTCACACGTTTTCAGATGTTAAGGGGAGCAGAGGACCTGGTAAACTGGATGGCCCAGGATTAAGGCTCTGAAGGTTTCAGGAGGAAGGAAATGCAGGCCATCTGAACAGGACAGCATCAGGGCGGATGATTGTGAAGTCCTGCAGGTGCACTCGCAATCGCCATCACACAAGGGCAGGATGGGGAAATGGTTAGGGACTTTAGTGGACTGCCAGCCTGACACCAGTCTATGTACCTGATGCTGATAAAGCCAGTGCATCCATTGGCTATATAAACAGGAGCATCACGACCAGCACAGGGGAGATGATACATCCCTGACCACCCCACTAATTGCTGTGTTTGAATCCAGATGCCCTATGTTAAGAATAATACTGACAAACACAAGGCCACCTGGATGAGGGCAGCAAGAGAAGGGGCAGAGGTTAGGAGGTGGTGGGGGGCAGGGTCTATGGGAATGATGTCATATTAAAATGAGAAAAGAGATGGTGTGGTATGGGTGGTGGTAAACACAGGTGTATTTTACTCATATACAGCATCTGTAGGCTAAAATATGGTAAATAATGAACATATGTTAAATGAAATGGCATGTATATGATTTATGGAAGCTCTAAATACATGTATGTAGCTAGCATTTCAGTAAATATTTGAATTTTTAAAAGGAACAATAAAAGGTACCAGGATGTCTAGTCCAAATGGAAAGAGGTACTAGCAGCATTGTATGAAACCCAATAAATATGTTCAGGACCCACACACTGCTGAAAATCTGGAAGACAGATTTTGCAGAGGTGCAGAAAGCAGCTGTAGGCTAGACACAAGGAAAAACTTCCTAATAATGAGAGTGATCATGTAAGGGATGAAGTGCCAGAGGAGGGGGGGCTCCCTGTCCTTTAGGGGGGTTCAGCAGAGGCTGGAATTGCTTAGCTGGCATCCAGGGCCTCCCTGTAGTCAGGGAGAGGAGTTGTCTTTGCACTCAGTTGGAGAGTCCGTGAGACATAGCTGTGTTGTGTTGGTAAGGCATGCTCCAACCAGAAGTGCCGACAGCTCCAGGGTGACCTAATCTTGGGTTGAAATTGGGTTTGCATAATCGTTGACTGTTTTTCAAGGGCTCGGCTTATGGAGGCCCCAATGGGGACTTGAAAGAGTCCGCTTCCCACCTGCTTTGGGCTGACATTCCTCTTCCTGGTTGTCTGTGTTTGTTCTGGCCACAAGCCCCTGCAGAGCTCAGACACCAGGGTTGAACTCTGGTACCCGCATGTGGCTGTGAGCAGTGGGGAGGTGGGGACCTGAGGGATGCCCTGAAGGCTCCCATTGGTGGGGCCAGGGATGGCAGGAGTGGGATGAGATGTCCCAAGGATCTCTGAATCTAGGCCATGAACGATGCCATGTCTCACGTAGCCTTTAGGCTGGGACTGCTGGGTGGGAGCCCAGGCTAGCAGAAGAGAATTAGAAGAGAACATGGAAGAGAATATGGCAGTCTTAGATTAAAGAAAGACTGGCCCAGGTGTGCCTAAGGCTGGGAGCACTGGATGCCTTCAAACAAAGGTGCCATGGGACATTCTGTGTGTCTGAAAAAGGATTCACAGTTTGATAAATAGATTGCAGAATGCAAGATTTGGAAAGCAGTGGACCAATCAAGGGGATGTGGGGGGTGGACATGGTGCTGGCCTTGGGGATGGTCAAAAAATGGTGAGATTAGCAAAGGACATTGAGATGTTGCCAACAGGACTGAGTGGTCACTTCTTGGTGCCTTGAGGGCAGGCCCTTGTATATGAGAGACTGGGCATTGTGCAGCCTGTGTGCTTGGCAGCTTCTGAGATTCTGACCAGAAAGCCAGAGGAAGACCTCAGATGTGCCACAGTTTACAAAAGTCTTATTATACTTTTTTTGGAAAACAATTTTAAATCAAAATAAATACAGAAGGGTTGCAACAATAGTAGAAAGAAACTCTTCCCGGTCCACTTGATGCCCCACCCCAGCATCCTTTCACGTGCATCTCCTAAAGCAAGGACATTCATCATCACGACCATCCGATCCAGACACTCACCCTGGATATGTCACTACCTTTTGGTCCCTAGACCTCACTCTGGTTTCCACACTTCTCCCAATAACCTCATTCATAGCAAGAAGACCTGGACAGGCCACAGGTCATATTTGACCACATGTCTTAGCCTCTTTCAGTTTGGAAAGGTTTATCCGTCTTTCCTTGGCCCTCATGGCTATGGAGTGTCTGAAGCTTGCAGAAGAGCTACTTTGAGCAATGCTCCTCGTTTGCTGCTTTCTCTTGATGAAATTCAGGCCATTAGTCTTTGTTGGAACCATCACAGGAGGATGCTGGCTTCTCGCTGCATCCAACCAGGTGCCCGGGATTCTGGGTGGCCTCTTACTGACAATGTCCACTTGGGTCATTTGACTAAGGAGGCACCGGTCAGCTTCTTCCCTATAAGAGTATTCTTTTCCCTTTGTCACTAGGAATGATGCTGTAGGAGACGTTCTTAGAAAGCACGGAAACATCCCACTTCTCATCAAGCATCTGCCCACTACTTTCAGTACCCATGGATGGTTCTCAGTGGAAGGAAGTATCACTGTGAGTATCACTCAGAGAGCCTGCCCCAAGTGTTTGTTTCATGAATGAATCTGTACTTCATTGCCCAAGAGGTGAATGAAATGACCACAGCTTCACGTGCCACCAGGTCTTTTCCTCATGCAAGCCCAGGGCAGGACCAGGGTGGGAGCAATGCCGCCTCCATGCACCCACCTGACTGCATTCCCAGGCTTGAGCAGGCTCCAGGACTCCCCTGGGACCTGCACCAAAGCCAGATCTCCTACCAGGAACAACATGAAGCCCTTCAGGGGTTCATGAAGGGTTTTAAGTTAGGGGGAGGTGACACATTTGATTTATGTTAAGCAAAACCAAACCAAACCAAAACAAAAGCAAACACCCTGGCTGTTGTGCAAATAGCTTGGAGTGGTTCAGATTTGTAGTCAGGCAGAACAACGAAGACTCAGTGAGGATGTTCGGGAAGCCTGAGTAGAGACCTCCTTTGCCTAGTGTGTGAGGAGTCCCAATGCCAGGGCAGGGCAGAAGGGGGCCCTGGCTTCTCCAAGGCTCCTGGGGCTGTGGTTGGCAGGGAAATCCTATGTGTACCCACCCCATCCTGCCAGCCTCTGCTGGCTCCTGCCCTGGATGCCCCATACCTTTGGTTTCCCTTAGCAGCTCTTCTGTGAACTTGACCACTTGGGCTACCTCCACCCATGGGAAGCCTTTGCCCACTGCAAAGATGATGCTCTCATAGAGGGTGTCCAGTAGGATGCTCCTCCGGGAATCTCTTTGTTCATCAAATTCCTCCCAGTTCAGAAGCCTCCTCAGGTGCTCCCGACCTTGTGGTCTCTGCAGGGCATGATATGAGAATTGCAGGGTATAATATGGGGGTGGCAGGCTATGATATGGTGGTTGGAGGGTATGACGTGGGGTTTAAGAATATGATATGAGGGTTGGAGGTTAAGATATGGGGTTGGAGGATATGATATGGGATTGGAGGGTATGATACGGCGGTTGGAGGGTATGATACGGGGATTGGAGGGTATGATACGGGGGTTGGAGGGCACGGTACGGGGTTGGAGGGCACGATACGGGGGTTGGAGGGCACGGTACGGGGTTTGGAGGGCACGGTACAGGGATTGGAGGGCACGGTACGGGGATTGGAGAGTACGGTACGGGGGTTGGAGGGTACGGTACAGGGGTTGGAGGGTACGGTACGGGATTGGAGGGTACGGTACGGGGGTTGGAGGGCACGGTACGGGGGTTGGAGGGCACGGTACGGGGGGTTGGAGGGCACGGTA